CTTGCTCCAAAATTTAACTTGGTAATAAGAAGGCGAAGACACACCATAAACGTTAGACATACGTTCATGAATCTCCTTAGGTGCTTTCCCTTCTTTGGTGAGGAGTTTGATCACTGAACGATGTTCAACTTTCGTCAAATCCATGACACAGACTCAGGAAAAGAAATCTAATGCGCTACCACTTTGAACGGACTTGAGCCACTGAGCTGGTATAGTGGTGGGGCACTCACGAGACCTGTCGAGACATGTCACAGCAGGCACAGGCCTGTTGCTCATCCCTTTCATATTCAGGTAGATAACTTATTGAGTGGCCCTCGTATCATTGTGCCATAACACTGCTATAATATTCACGCAAAGTTGGACTTTGACCTTCAACGTCGATGACATCGTATTGACTTTAGGGCAGGGGTTTTTAACCTTTTTTTCCATACGCATCCACCACGCACCTCTGTCCGCACCCTTGGTTAAGAACCCCTGCTTTAGGGGAACGTTCCTACAACGCTACTATGTTCGCTGGGTAGTTGTGCCCAGACATTCCGATCAAACATCATTGCTGAGAATATAGCCAAATAAATTAAAATGGGGACCGCAACATTTTCACTTCCTTAGTGTCAGTTTTCCTATTGCACGGCATGAAAATCATTACTTCTCTGTTCAAATCGAATAGAAAAAAAAGCTGAGGTTGAACTGGGGACACGTGGGAGACATCTCCCGTCGAGATTACGCAGCTGGAATTGGAATTCATGTTCGCCGAGCACAGGTTGCGGATAGGTCCTTTAAAGCACGGAGACATCCCAAGATCTTCATGGGAAATGTCTGGTCCAGTTGGCAACATCCCTGTGTTGTCTCTGCTGTGGAGGATAAGGAAAGGGGGAGCATGAGAACCATGTGGGATGTGCGCATCTTTGACCACGTGATTCGTTGCGTACTGAGCATGAGCGAAGTCGCCAGTCATGACGTAATCACCATGGCGCCTTGTCCTACTCTTTTCCGTGCGTGTCCACTATTCCCAGCAGTTGAAGGACTTACATCAACGACTCTTACGCAGATCTCTCGTCCAGATCCCGTTTCCCTGACAAATAATCACATGAAATGAAGCTAAAGATGTTTCAGCAATTTTTTTTGGGCCTTGGTTCTATCTACAAGTTCATGTTCAGACGTGAGAGCTATGTTGGTAAACTTCGGCCAATGTAGACGCAAAACATAGGCCTAGGACTAGCATAGGCCAGAATGCCTGTGCAGGTTTAGCCTAACGTTAGGCCTGTACCACCTAACATATAATGTCTGCGTTAGGGTGACCAGACGCCCTGGTTTTACGTGGTATTTCAAGCTATGTCCGGGTTTGGAAACTGCTCTGGTTTGTGGAGGATACAAAGAACCAATATAATGAGCAGAAATCCATTGATGTTTCTTGGGAGCGCGCAGGTGTATAACTGTCAATAGGTCTGAAGGACTGAATTTTCCTTTCCATTCCGTTGTCCCACTTTTGCAGGAACATTTGGGCATTTTCTTCAAAATGTTCCAGATTTTTCTGAAAAAATATCTGGTCGCCCTAGTCTACTATGAGGACTAGGCCTGTGATAGAACTGAGGTCATCCTAATAGGCCTATGCCTACATAAGTGAAATTCCTAGTCATGGTTCTTTCACAACATGTTAACTTCTGTTAGATGGTAGATATGGGTAAAGGTTACTTCATAGGTATCACATTTTCTCTCCCTTTAGACGATGCAATTTTAGATACATTTGTGGAGTTCCTGTTCAGTGTGTTTGGGAGCATGGCAGAGCCTGAACCTCAAGCAGAAGTGAACCCAAATGTGGGCTCTAATCATGCATCATCTTCACCCATCAATAATACCAACAGTACCAATGGGAACAACCGGACTCGCATGAATCCCAACCCAGTGATGAATATTCGGGATAGACTGTTTCATGCACTGTTTTTCCGTGTAGCCCTGGCATATGCCAGAATATTTCCAAAGCCTTTGAGGAGGCTTTTAGAATTCTTTATTCTCATGAAGGTGAGAAAACTTCGAGCTATTGTTAGGCCTGTTGTGGCATTATGATGGAGCAAAGTCGAGGACACTTTGTTTAATCTATCCCACATGGACTTTTTGCATTTCAGGCTGTTTTTGCTCTGTCTATCCTGATCTACATGCATGTGGTATTCTCCCAGACTCCTGCCAACTGCCTCGATCATATCAAAGACAAGTGGCCAAGGGATGGTATCCTACGAGTTGAAATTCTTCAACCAGGTAGATTGAAGGATAATATTCAAATTGTATCTTTTGAGTGAGGACTCTGGTAATATACAGGGTGATCTAAAAGTAATGCACACCAATGATATAGACATAATTTTTCTCATTTACAGAAATCTCTACAACCATAGACTCCCTACATTGCAACACTGGTGAAGAGTGGCAACATTAGACATTACATTCATGCACACAGGAGCTTGACCTAGCCTGGCCATATGGCCTCAGTACTTAGTTCTTCCTTGAAGAAGGATACTGCTATCTTGAATACTATACTATCTTGAATCTTGAAAAACTGTTCTTGCAACAACTGCATGTGTTCAATTATTTAATGACCAAATCTTACGCAGTGTGTCCAGCAGCATTTGCAGAAGAATTTCTTTACGCAGAAACACCAAATAACTTTACAGTGACTCATTTAGTTCAAGTTGCTTGATTTGTACTTGTTAGGTATGTATGACTTTTGGATCAACCTGTATCAATTTCCATGTCAGTAGGTTATTATTTGGATTTGTGCCACAAGAATGAGTAGTTATGGGTTACTGGAAAATGAATTTGGTTTTTTGATTAGATTGGGTTCTGAATAGAAACATTAAGTTCATTTGGATTTTGCACAACCATTTAAGGGACTGTGTGTCATGTCGCTTTAGCAATAACACTCCACATCATCTGCTCCTATGCTGTAGTTCATGAGATTTGTATGGAGATGATGCTGCATAGTTTAGTATATGGTAAGTTTGAGCATGGTTGTCACCTTGGCTGCAGTTAGCTAACCCAACTCACCCATTGTCTTCTAGAATTGGTTCACTATTTCATTCTTTCTACCAAATAACAAAGATATACAGCTTACTTGGCCTTGGTCAATATTTTTTGACTTACTAAAATACACTGATCAATCATATGGGAGAGATTAATTTAAATTTATACACCTCCATTTTCAGCCTTATACAAAAGTGTGCTGTTTACTTGGCCTGTGTTTATCGCTAGGCATATATGGTGAAGATGTCCTTAAAGTGTCATATTGCAGGGCAGTGAGTTCAATTGTTACTGAAGGGCTGGAATATTTTGGATGGGGATGTTACAATCCAATCCAAATCAAGTACTAGTCCTATCTCTGCTCTATTCCCCTCACTAAGTGACATCAACATGCCCTGAGAGAAACTGAACTGGTGATGTTTCATTATTAACCCATGGACACTGTCTTCACTCGTGACAGAATTAGTTAAAAAAAAAAAGAATTCTCTAGACTTGTGGAATGGTATCTTTGCTGAGGAGGCTACTTATTAATGCAGTCAGGAGTTAGACAGTTTGTTGATTAGCTCATGAGAACTCTGATTTTCAGATATTGCAAAAGTGACATGATCTTTGCAGTAAGTTAAAAAAATTGCCTTATTTTGGTTTGATAGTGGAGTTAAGTATCTTAAAACTTGAAATTGTATGTAAGTCAGATATAATATTGCCTGTAAGCACAATTTCTTTTTTTAAATATTTATTTTACATTAAATGTAATGGTTGGATATTCTCCTTGAATCACTTATTTTGGTCCCATGCACATAGCTCTTTACCAGCAGATAATTTGTCCTTTTGTTGCATGGCAACCCATTCAATTTTTTATTATTTAAAAAGATGTGACACTATTCATAGGCCAAAAGCATGAAGTTGTTTTTTGTGTGTGGTAGGGTAGTTTTTAAAGGGTCCTGTAATATTCTTTTATGGTTGTAATTGTTATGTGGTAGTCTTGCATATCAAGAAATGTGGCCATGCATATGTTCAAAATTCAATTATTCAGCTTGCTAGATTGATTCACTATCAGTATACTCAGTAACTAGTATGAATACCCTCCTTATGCTTTGTGTGTCTCTATGGCAATACTCATCCTTGAAACATGCCTACTTTGAATTGATGAAAAATGGCTTTTATTGTTTTTTAATTTAATAGGTCATGTAAATATTGTAGGCAAGACTCATGCAATTAAAACATAATGAAAGAAAGTCTCTTTTAAGAGCTGTGTAATGCGATACAAGGAATTCTGCTTTGAAAGCTACTGTGATGCTGAGGGATCTGCATAGGAGCAAGCCAACTTTATTTTAACCTGACCAATGTTTAACCTGGGAACTGCTAGTGTGACTGCAAAAATATTTCACTTTTATTTTCTATTCATTGGGGCAAACTGTTATGTGAAATGTTAGTCCTCTTCATCCCAATGTGACTTCAAAGTTGCAATTGTTTTGTTTCTTTGAAGCCACCCATATGAGGATGTGAGTAAAATTTAAAGCCAATTTTGACCACAGGGTAACATACTGCTTTGTTAGTGTGCCCATACTTAAAATATATATCATATGAATGAGGAATGTGTTATAAAAGTTATGAAAAATCTTTGTAAAAAATATATATTTTTCCCTTCCAAGAATTAATTTGGTCCATATAGGGTTAAGCTAATCCATGAGATTTTTTCATACAGGCCTCTGTTGGTGCCTTGACTTTTGATCCAGTTTTTCTTTCCCATATGACCCTGAGGTAAAACTTACTGGTTTGTGTTTCATGCAGGTCATGAAGATGAGATAGGAAGAGCAGAAACCCTTCCAGTTACTCCTGAATCTCTTCCAGGAGAGTTTGATAGCAGTTGTGAAAATAACCGTGCAGAACACCCCTTCCAAGAGTGAGTGCTTATAACATTCTTATCTTTCCTTTTATTCTACCCTTATTTAGGAAGTAGGATCATCTTTAAGGATCATTCTCATGACAATCTGAGTACTGCATTTTAGCACAAGAGTCTACTGTCTTAAACTGTCAGAAACAGTATAAGTAGTGGTTTGGGCAGTGGTTGCACTCCTATTAACATTGGTTGTCTTTTCTTAGTTCATTTTGATTCGTTCAGAGGTATTTTCTGCATTTGCCTAAGTTGATGTCTTTAATGCTCAAAATGCCATCAGATGACATGCAGAAATTGTGCTGGGAAGGCCAATGGTTAGGTGGAAAGTGATTCAACTCTACATGGAACCTTATGCTTCTGGAGCCCAATGTTCCTTTTGCTCAGATGAAAGACCCACTGCTCTATTGGAGATTGAGTCACTTTTCCTCTTTCTATTAAATCTCCATGCCAAAAAAACATTTCTCAGCTCCTAGGACCCTTAGTGACAGCCTGGAACAATGTCTCACTTGGAGGTGAATTTGGTAGAAATCTGCTATACTTCTAAATTATTAATTTTTCTTAGGTGAAACCCTTCTCTTGTAAATAAAAAAAATATAGATATATACATTGTACTTATATATGCATTTATTGTATATGGAAAATACATGAGTCTATATGACTTATGCATATATCATATAGATATATAGAAATGATTCTTGGTTTTAGTTTATTGCAGGAAACCCAGAGAAAAATATTTTTGTACTTCCAAAATGCTCTTGTCAATCTCTGTTCCTTTTTTTGAGATTGTGCATCTCAGCAGAAAATTTCACAAGGTGTCCTAAAAGTTTGTTGCTCTTGGACAAGTTGTTATCAAATTCAAATGCTTATTAAATTTGTTTTAAATGTTTGCTTTGTACTTCCATGCAATATTAAAAACTCAAGCTGGTTCCACCTGCATTATTGCTGGGTGATGACAGCATGTGAAAGGAAGAATCTCTTTTTCTTGTGCTGTTGATCGTGGATTTTCATTGAATACACTTTTGTTTTCAGGTGATTCCAAAAGTCAAAGTCCCTGGGATTCAGATAGGGTAAAATACCCAGTGATGGACAAGTTGCAAGTGATGGGCTATAGCACATAAAAATTCAAACAGCTAAGCTTCCATAGCATGCATACCCCTGTTGTAATGTAGGCTAGCAACATCCAAGCATATACAGACTTCAGAAATGTTCATGCTACAAATGTCTAGTTTTTGGAATTTTCCTGCATCATGGCCCATCACTGAGTACATGCTCCTAACAGGCCCTTCATTGGGTATTTTACCCTATGGTTTTTGTGGTGGTCCATTCTACCCATTGGCACTCTGTAACATGAAGAAATCACAGCAAAACATATTATGAATATGGTTGCTGACTCATGGGACTTAATGTAATATACATGCTTGTGTGTAAATGTAACCTCTGCTATTTTTCACACTACTTATATATTTATTTTGTGTTTTACTCAATATAATCATGTTATTGGAACTTGAAGAACATTTTTATAGGTATGCTGATCTTGCTTATGTGTTGGTACTGTTTTTAACTTCTCATGGACATATTTCCTTTCCTTCTATCGTCCTCTGTCCTCAAGTGTGAACTTGTCCTGAGAGAGAGTTAAATCCTTTTCATGGTGAATTAATATGGAGATGGTCTTTGAAGTACTGTACTCAAGTAAAAAATTTTCCTTTTAATTGAAGAGTTTTGCTACATCCTAGACTAGCAGGCAATGCTTTCTTCTTGTTGGACATCTGTCCTTTAACCTTTGCTGCATTTGCAGCTACATGCTTGCAATGCATTTCACAATGTGCCTCCAAATTTAGAAGCTGCAATGGAAAGAGTTAAGAAATCATATTGAATAGTATGAACTTGTGTGCAACATGTATGGCAATCTGGCAGTACTATTAATGGATTGTGATTCCTTCTTCTTCCATAGAGGAGTGCATATGGCTGAAGATGAACAACCATGGTATGCAGACCCTCCTGGGGAAGTGAAAAGTGAAATCATTGAAGAGAGCAAGGAAGGAAATACCTCTCACCAAGCTGAAGCAGATGACTCTCTTCGAATTCAAACACCTCATCTCACACCTGAGATTGATTCATCTGAGAAGGGTGTGTGGGCTATACAAAGTATGAAGTAGTGCTGACCTGGGTACTCTATGCACCTGATATGATAAGCAGTGTCAGGGATCCTTGTAGTCTATCTGGGTCGGGTACCCAAATGCGTAGAAGGTGAAGAAGGAATTGACCCTATGGTGGCATCTAGGACAGTCTCCATTGCCACCCTATTGGGTGGGTTTTATTAAGGATTGTCCAAGCATGTCTGAAGTCACAGACTCAGCTCATGGACTCAGGTTACCATAAAGAAAACAATCACAACAGTAACCCCTTTGATGGACTCAATAACACATCTTTGTCTTTTCTTGAAAATATGTCTTCAATCTTACATCTTTGACCTTGTTCTATATATTCTTCTAATGTATTAATACAAGGGGTGATTAAAAAGTTCGCAGCCTGAAGCAATTCCAGTTACAATACACCATTCTTACTTTTCTTATGAGACAACTGATGTCTTTGATGGTGATTGGCACATTTTCATCTGATTTGTCGATTATATGTAGCTTTGATGCATTTTTTCAATGTGCTACCAAAGGGTCTGCTGAAAAGGTATTAAAATTGAGACAAATGCCTTGATGAATTTTCTCATCTCTAAAGAGTTGATTTTCTAGCTGATGAAGGGTCACTGGTCACTCTATCCTCTCAGCTACTGAGAGATCTGCTGACAGATCGTCTCCTTGGAGGTTAGAAGATTTATCACAGCATTCTTCTCAATTTTAATACCCTTTCAGCAGACCCTTTGGTAGCACATGGAGAAAAATGCATCAAAGCTATATCTAATCAATGGATGAGATGAAAATTTGCCAGTCACCATCAAAGACATCAGACTTCTCATAAGAATAGTAAGAATGGTGTATTGCAGTTGGAAGTGCCTCTGGCTACAAACTTTTCCTCATATATATTGTCTTCCCAACTCTGATGGCTTGATAGTTCAGAAGTTCTTTCTTTATCATCCTGCCTCTAATGATTTCCTTTAAAAAAAATTCCTTCTCATTAAACTAAATTACTTTTCACTTTCACCTCTGCAACATAAAAAATACTACCTTTGAACAGATTAGAGGAGTTGTTGTGCATGTCTCTTCATTGGCTATCATGAGAATTTGCTTGTGAAAATCATATGTCTGTACCATCTTCCTTTATATAGACATTGTCTTTGGGATCATTGAAGCCTCAGAGATAGTTTATGCCCATTCATTGATGTTGATTCTTCCACTAATCACTAACTGCTAGGGTCCCAGGCACCTGACATTTAACTTGTGAGTTAATTTATGGGGATGTAGTCATTTTTGCATTTTAATGAGTACTTATATTGTGTGACTGTAGGTAATGGAGAGAAAGGAGCAAGAGGGCTTTCGAGGGTTCGAGTTTTTGGAGAAGATGCTGGTAATGGCACAATGAAGGGAGCTGTGCGAAAAGAGGGAGATCCTAAAGTCATATCCAGTCCCATCCCAGATACTGTCTCTGAATTTGAAATGCTCACCAATGCAGGTAAGTACAATGGTTGGTAGGTCTATCTGAATACTTCTTTCAGCACACAAAGGATGGGTTTCCATGTGAGGGATTTTTGGCCCCCTTTCTTAAATGCTCTATTTTGTGGTATGTGATTTCTCCACTACTGTATACCAAGAAAGAGGGGTGCTTAGGTCAGTTATGGTAAAAATTAGGGCTGTCACGATAGCAGTTTTCAAAACATCGATGCATCGACCTAAACTATCGATAGTGTATCGATGCATTGGGGGGGGGATGGGGTGTGCGCCGGAGGATTCCATCTTTCCTCACCGCGATCGGCGCATGGACCTCTATCCGGCTTCTATTATCTCACGCTTGTGATCGGGTGCAAGGGGAATGTGTGACCTTTGCAAAGAATAATGAAACCTACCATGCCTGCAACTATCGAAGATGACATCCATTCATCGATGGATGCATCAGGACACCCCTAATTTCCTTCGTTCTACACTGTCTTTGGACATCGGCACTGGCAGATAGGAAACCTGCTGATGGTGCCATACTGGCAGTTGCCGAAACATTGGTACAGCTGTAGAATAAGCAACGTCCATGTAAAAAAATTCACTTTGATTTCACCTTAAGTAGAGATGAAACGCCCCAAGGCAAGTTAAAAATTAAGAAAGTTAAGCCTGCATACTAAAGTGATAGGAATATACAGAGGGGGTTATGCAATGTACGTTTCGAAATCAAGGCAGTATGAGAACAGTCCACTTCAGCAGCATGCACCTGATGAGATCGAGCCGGGAGACTGAAACTGACGGCAAAAAAAAATCTTATTGGGCTTCCCTCTCTTTTCCCACTTCCTGTCTCCGATCTGACTTTTTTTTCCCTTCCCGTCTTTCATATAGTCAGTCCCAACATTTCCAGAATTTGATTGTGATAAGAAATTGCTCGCCCATGCGTGTCACGCCGCTTCTTCCGTTCCTCGCCCGGACAGACTGTATTGTACAGTACTCGCCTCAATTCAATGGGACATTTCCCCTTTAAAATATTTTGCCAATGCATCGCGATGGTCAAAAAAACTATTGATATCTCCAACTATCGATAGTGGTATCGATGCATCGATCTATCATGACAGCCCTAGTAAAAATTGAGCATACTGAGTGATACAACAGTAAGTTGCCTCAAAGGGGACAAACTTAAATGTTACTCAGTCTTGGGTTTCTTAATTGCCACCCATGATGCAAATAATAATATTCACGGCCCAAAAAAAAATGCAATTTTTTACTCTGGCATTTTTACTATGCTAGTATTCTATACCTATTGTATATTATAAATTAAACTCCTGGATTTCAGCAGGAGAAAATGGTGAGTGGGATGAGCAGCATTTTGGAAAGCTATAAATGGCTGTCTAGAGCTGGAGAAGCAATTTTTTTACTGGTGTATTTAAGTGCAGTAATTATTAATTAGCATTATTGAAAATGAAAGTTTTCTGAGTAGCTAAAAAAAAAAAAGTTAAATAGGCAGTGAGAGATCTTGCATCTTAATTTTTCCTGATACAGAATTGAAGCATTTACCACAATTATCTATGCTTGTTTTTATTTCAGAGAAAATTTATTTTTTGCCAGTTGTTATTTTTTTTTTTAGAGTTTTTTGAGTCTGAAAATATGCTTACTTTTTAAATATGTTAAGTGATGATATGTAATTACTTAATGCTATTAATTATGTTGGAAAATAGAGCTTCTCCTGTTCTATCTTACAATGTTTAGCTTTACAAGATTCTTTTTTTTGTCTCACTTATCATCCTCTCTATATTGTTTCCTCCAGTCAGGGTCAGCATAACACCTAGGATGGACACCTAGACACTTTAATATCAGGCATATGCTCGAAAAGTACATATTTGACCTGTATTTTTATTGTAAGATAGACTTTGAATGCTTGTTGTAGTGGTTGTGGACCTTGTGGGCACCTGTTTGCTATTTGGATTTTTGTTGACATCATGGTTAAGGAAGTCCAGGAAGGGACTTTTATTGATGAGACCTGGGCACTACAGGAGGTATTTGTATCATCAGTTCTTTCTCTTGGCAGAGGTTCAGAAAATGAATGAATATGAGACCTTTGCCTATGGGAAACCAGAGCAAAATAGACCAATTAGGGAGGTATTTGGGCAGCTGGGATGATAAGGAAATGGGAAGACAAAGTATCTCAGAATGCACAAAGGCCTTGAATACTTGAAGGCACAAGTGTTTAACCTTTCAAGCTGTTTTCACGTTCACCGTACTTGCATCCCTCAGAGGTTGAGTCAAAACTCAGCACTTGAAGTGTTAAGCAGTGATGAAAATTCAGGGTCTGGGTGCTGTCTCTTGAAATTTTCATCCTAATTCTCTTGTTTCTTCTCCCATATAACAATGCTTGATTCCCATGACCAGACAGCAGGAAAGGGTGTGCATTCACTTGCAGCAGACATGCAAGTGCCTGGTTCAGCAGGAAAACCTTCTGTTCCTTATTTTGTCCTTGCGTTAAACCTATCATTCCATTTAATCTGCCAGTAATCAGGTTTTATGGATTACATGCAGACAAGGTTTCCTCCATGCACACCAATTATGCATGTGGGAGTTGCTGCTAGAGATGGAAAATTGCTTTGTGGCTGGGGGATTTCTATGTATCTCTGATGATTGAAAACCCTTGAACAACAGTGAGGCACACATACTTAGATCTCTTCTGTTGTAGGATTTCATGTTTTTGTGCAAGGGCAATAGTACAATTCCAGTTGTGCTCTTAATTATCTAATTAGAACAGGAGATTTTACTAATAGAAATGTACAGTTTTATGTTGTATGTACATGTGCTTGTTTCTGTCACCTCTGGCTTCATGCAAAGCATATGAACTTCTCAGGAGATGTAATTGAAAATTCTGTCATTTATTAGTCACTTTAAAGTAACCTTGCAACATAACCTTTCTTGTATGAAGGTTTGACCAGTGCATCCAGTATGCTCAGCATAAAAATATGCAGGGTTAGTTGTATCAGTGACTATGATAGATTTGGAATGGTTTCAACTCATTTGAATGTTCAATAATAAATTCAGCCATGTGGTTCTACAGAATTAACATATAAAATGGATCTGTCAGCTGTAAAGAAAAGTTTGCAAAAATTGTAATGATATTGAATAGGAGAACTGATAACATTCTAACTGATATCATTCTTTGGCTTGTTACCAGAAACTGAACATCTAATAGTAAAATCTCACACTATGTTTTGTACTTTGCACAGTGTGGCCCTCTAATGAGTATATAGTGGAGTACTCCCTGGAATATGGGTTCCTGCGTCTTTCCCCATGGACAAGGCAGCGACTAAGTATCCCAGTGATGATTGTTAAGTTGGATCCACAGAAAGATGCTTGCTTTGGAGATGACCTCAGTCGCTTGATCCTGGATAAAGTTCTTGGCTATGATGACATACTTATGGCCAGCATCAAGAGCCTAGCTGAGCATGAAGAAAACAAAGGCTATCTCAGGTGCCTTGCCTCTTATTTTTAGGTTTCTTTATTCCTAACAAGCATGATTGTATGTGATTTTTGTTCTCTTCAATAGGAATGTTGTGACTGGAGAGCATTTCCGATTTGTCAGCATGTGGATGGCCAGAACCTCATACTTGGCTGCTGCTTTCATCATGATAGTTTTTGTAAGTTGTTGTCTGATTCTCATCTGGTCAGGTTCTTATGTTCATGTGTACCTTGTTTTCCATCTGTGACCCCTTTGATTTTAGTACTATCTTTCATAAAAAGCAAATAGGCAAAGAGTAGATATTCCTGCAGTATGCAAATATGTATTGAATAATTAGGCATATTAAAGTTACTAGTGAATGCCCTTAAATATTGACTAAATCATATCCTGAATGAACTTTTAATCATAATTTTTCTGAAGCAAAGTAGATGAAACTATTTCACCAACCAAAGCACCAATGGCTCCTGAGTAGAATAAGGAAATTTGAAGGGATGTGATTTACAAAATACTGTATGTTCTTGTTTTTTCCAGACTCTTTCGATCTCCATGCTCTTGCGTTATTCCCATCATCAAATCTTTGTCTTCATTGGTGAGTTCCTTATTGGTTTTGTTGTTCATTACATGTTACTGGAATATGGCTAGTGAAGAGGAATGGCTGTGTTCTCTGATCAAGGGTTTAGTCCCATGATATAAAGTAAAGCCATGCCATTATGAAATTTCATCCAGCATACTGGTGACTGGTATTTCCTTTTTGGTGTATGTTACTGATCCATTTTCTCATGGTACAGGGTGGGTCATAAATATTCCCGACAAATCGAAGTCTTGTATTTCTGGCATTAATAAATTCTGTCAGAATCAATTGAATCTCAATCAGACACAAAGACACACTGTAACTATTCACATAATGTTTTTGATGTGTCCTTGATGGCAACTCACAATCTTTGTGCCTGATGGTTGATTGTATTGGATGGACATGGTTCCACTCCTCTTGCAGCACCAGCCTTAATTGATTCACATTGTTTGAATTCGTTTTTGAACACTTCCAGAAGACCCCACATACAATAATCTATCAGATTGCAGTCATAACTGCAGGGGCCATTAATGTTTATTTCAAATAATTGCTACATGATCTGCTAAAAATGTTTTTGTGCATCAGTCTTTGTGACTCAAAAAAGGAGTCCCTCTGAAGCACTCATTATTGATATTGACCACCAAAGAGATGTATAGGTACCACACCTTTGTTTCTTTGCTTTTCTTGGATATGCAGAAATAGAAAAGTTACATGTATGGTATGAATATTTATGACCCACTCTGTAGAGGTATGTCTGATTCAGAATGAGCTTGAATATAGCCTAGGCAGAGCTACCTGAAAACTAACTACAGTCGCATAAAAAGGGCTTTAGGTAGTCTTGACTAGGGTAGTTCAATACTGATATAGCCCTATAGCCCTGGAGTCTCTGGCTTTATATCTAGCTAGGCATGGACCAGCTGGATAGAAAATTTTCAATTTCACTTTTAAAGGATAATTGTATTTCCTATTGATTTGGCAACTTATTTTTCTCTAGGTCATCAGGATTTATCACAGTAGATGGAAGGGTTAACAAAGGAAGTTAAAAAAAGATGTATCAACAGGAAGTAAAGACTGGAGAGCAAGAAACTTCAGGTTTTAGAAGCAGGAAGGTGGGAAAGGGGCAATGATAGCAGGAAGGAGAAACATGAAATTTAGGCCAGAGTATAATCTCTGTAAAGAAGGATGTGAGACACAAGAAGACCGTGAATTTATAGCCATATGCACCACAATAGACACCTTCCTATCTCAATATTAGTAGGCAAAGTGAAGGAGTGGTGTTAGGGTAAATGAGTGTGTCAACAGAAACGAATTTAGAGGAGACAGCAGGTGAGAGCCAGCCCCCAGACAGCGGAAGGATATGGAAAAATGCATCCAGAAGTTGTCCAATGGTTAAGGATGCCAAAATTATGCTTGAAAGAAGACTTGATGAATGGCTTCACTTTGCTTCTATGAAAGTATCTTCCATATTCCAAGATGAAGAGAATTTCAGATTGAGCTGCATTGGTCTGGAAGTTATTACTTGGATGTAGCAATTTTGCCTGGTTGGCTACCTTACAGAGGTAGAACCCAGCATGGTGGAGCTGTGGGTGTATACAGGATATGACAGGGGAAAAAAGGAATCATGATTTTTAACTGAAAAAGAAGGTGGTGGTGGGAAATTTTGTCATTCAGGGTCGTCCTGCACCAGGCATCTGAAAATCTCCACTCCCGACTGAGTAGGGAAGTCCATTTATTCGTTCAATTCTTGAGCCATTTTATAGATATTGATGCAATTTGTCATTCTTGGAGGTCAGAAATAGGTGTTTTTCTCATGATAAGCCAGTTCACAGTATGTCAGAGGTAGGGTTTTAGTGTCCATGTGTCTATTAAATTCTTGTTACTTTAAAATATAGTGCAAACAACTGAATCCATCACAATTACAGTAAAGTACTAGCAATGTGAAGTTGCAGAAGAGACCTTTCATTTGTAAATGTTAAGTTACCTTTCGATCCCCCTGTATGTTGAACCAGATCCCTTGCATGGAATGTACAGGGTGGAGCGAAAGTTCATACAATTCTTGTATACTGGAAATAGCTGTTTTGGTTATTTGGTCCTCTGTTTCAGAATAATACTGCTGGATGAAGCTGGTAGCTTTTGAAATTACATTGCACGATCATTTTTCTGTTATGTGTGTGCTGTTTTTTTAAATTTTAAATAACGGTCAATATGACGTTAAAAATTAGCCTGTTTTCTATGTTCGACAACTGTATGGTGACTTTCGTCCAAATCTGTATATTAAATCTAGAGGTGCTAAAAAAAAGGTGAAGCCCGAAATCGGAAGCACAATTGTCAGATGCACCTTAGGACTTGATGATGCATCCACATAGAGCATTGGTATCAGCGTCTTGTATTTGCAAGTTTCACCTGTATTTTACTAATTCCTTATAGACTTGCCGCAATTTCTGGCTTCTCAGGTAATAATGGATGCATTCTTTTCCCATACATATGCGACTGGATTTTGCCCTCTGCCTACGATATAATATCGGGTGCGAAGAAAAACCGCACAGCCGTTTGATATTTTACATCAGGTAATTGTACATTGCTACGGTTGTGCATCTACGCTCCTATATCGTCTACCGTCGGAAATATTTATTATTCAGAATTTTGTTCATTATGCTTCAGCTTTTTGATGATTTAATTTAATGGCAATTTGAAGATTGTGAGTAAACAATCTCGAAATCCCGCCCTTCGCTAGTCTCTCCCCATTAGATGGCTGCCAGTTCGCTCGATCGTTTTTGTGCCATCTTTCTTGTCTGTCGCGTCAGTTGTGTTCATAGTGTTGTCTAAGACAGACAGAGCAGTATTAAAGTGTAATTTCTGGGCAAAAATGTACTTGATTCCATTCAATTAGCGATTCTTTAAAGCCTCAATGCTGTCATCCTGACGGCAGGAGGGCCCATAACACATCAACTTCAGGGACTCTCTGGGCTTGGAGAGATTTTCAAATATTTCACTCGAGAACTTCAAATGTACTTCTCTGGAAAAACCAATTCACGGAAAATTCTTAAATAAAACGTTTACATTATAGAAAAACGGTTGATACATACCTGTTGAAACACACAGCTGTAGCTTTCACCGATATTCTGAACATCTCAACAACGGCGCGTTTTTTTCTCCGAACCCGGTATTGGTGACCCCCCCCCCCCTCCTCCCCCATGCCACATCGAATACAACTGGTCAATAGCAATCGCTTTCCTCCGCAATGAGCGGAGGAAAGTCCATCCATTGTGAGAATCTCATCTCTTAGCTTACAATCACAAAATGCGTTCATGCACCCTTTCCTTTAGTTCTGTCGTTTTTCATTGTCGACTGCAGATTTTTTTGAAAAGCGCTAGGTTCGCCACCCAGTCCTTTCCTGCCCGCGCTTGGCAGAATTTTCTGAGAAGATAGGGCTTCATGAGTGATAGATGGGTGCGTGTAGTTTATGGAACCTACGTATGCCCCACTATTTCATTTTGGGGGAATTGTGGAGTTTGAGTCGGCAGGAAAAAAAAACCTACCTCATCTCTCATTCTCACAATTACTCTTTCAAGGAATAGAAAGACCTTTATAAATATTGAATAAGGCAGGAAGTAGACATTTCAATGTGGCTCCTGAAGAAGACACGAAGGCCAGTGATACTTGACATTCACCGCTTATGGCTCAAAAAGAATTGGAGCCTCTATTTGGAGATGACAGTACTTGACGTTGAGGGGAATGCAGTAGAGCCAAGGAGAAGAGAGGGTGAGGGTGTGTCTGTCTCTTGCACGGTTTTTTTTTCCGTTTGCCCGGGACAGGGAGAGGATAATGGGAAAGAAGGGATCGCGGAGGGATGTTTGGAGTGCATACACACTGACACATGGCTTGGAAAATGAGATCATTCTCATTCTCTCTTTCCCCCTCTTCACCTTACATACGTTCTTCATCATACTGTACCTCCGTCCTTCCATCGTTTTTCTTCCGTTACCCTTCTCTATAACGTCAGGTCTGCGAGGATAGGATTCAGGATTCCGCTATGAATTTCTACGATCTGTTGAAGGCTAGTCACCTTCTCTGAAGGAGATACTAGTCACAGACACAAAAAAAGGCCTCAGAACAGGTAATGTGGAAGAAGTTGGAGGTTTCTTTCCCTCTCCTTTTCATTACAGTAATTAATCCGCCTACGTAAGTACTTGAGGTCCACGTCAAAGTCATTCTATATTTCTTGATTTCGATCTTAATACTTTTCCCCTCTATATTATGATCATTAGAGAGGGAAACGACAAATTACGAATTCTTAGATTACCCCAACCCCCTCAGGGCAGGAAGCGAGTTTGTCTCATTGTAGGCTGTACTAATAATTCGGTATGTGATGTCACGATCTCTGACAATTTGGCGACTCAGTGAAAAATTTTTTTCCTCCGACAGTTGATCTGCTGCAGATGTTGGAGTTCAACATGACGATTAGTTTTCCTGCCGCTCCTCTCCTCACTGTCATTCTCGCCCTAGTTGGTCAGTGTCTCTCCCCCCTCGTAAGGATTTTAAAGCATATTCTTCTGCATAAAAGTAAAATAATTAGCATAATTGGACCAAATGCTCCCCCTTTGGCAGAAGTTCTTAGTTTTATGGGGAAATGTTTTCCTTCGTCCATTGTTTTGTTGCGAATGTTCATGCATATGAGAGTGTGGGTTGGATGAGGGAGGAAGAAAATTATTTGTATTATTGCGAATGTGGAATATTTAGGGATGGAGACAATCATGTCAGAATTCTTTAACGACACAACGACGGCCTTCTACATCATCTTGATCGTTTGGATCGCGGATCAATACGATGCCATCTGCTGCCACACCTCCATCACCAAGAGACACTGGCTCCGGTATGACTCCTGGGATAGACTGAAAGGGGAAATAAATGGGGAAAAGAAATCCATTCATGACGCGATATGCACTGATTTCTTTTGTAGGTTCTTCTACCTGTATCATTTCGCCTTCTATGCCTACCACTATCGGTTCAACGGGCAATATAGTGGCCTTGCTCTGGTCACCTCCTGGCTATTCATTCAGGTCAGTCTTTTTTGTTCTCTCTCCCCCCCCCCCCATTGCATATTTCTGTGCACCTACACCTACTCGAAAACCCTAGGTGGATTTTCATCTGTTTTCCGCTACCGTTGTCACACTCTTTACAAGGAACTGAGAACTAATCTGGAGTAGGATGGATCAGATTCCCCAGAGAGAGGGAGAGAGGGGTAGAGTGAGGAAGTGAATCAAGAGGACTATTTGTATCTGCATGTCAGTATTTTATTATTCATGCCGAGTATAAGAAGGGAGAAAAAGAGAGAGAGAGAGAGACGGAGCCCCCTCGGTTTAATTGAATTCTCGGCGACTGGAGATGAAGGAGAAAAGAGAAGAGGTGGAGAAGGAAAGGAATAGGGATCTCCCCAAGGCCCTTCCCTGGCCGATAGATGAAAAATTGCATTCCTTCCATTAGATTATTCTCTCTCTCTCTCTCTCTCTCTCTCTCTCTCATTCCCTGCTCTCGCATTTCCCTCTTTTTTTTTCCAAAAGACCATCTCCCCCGCAGGGTTGTAAAAGCTCCAGTTAAAATAGTAACCCCGACACGTGTGGAATTTGGGATTCTCCGGGAAAAAGGATGATATTTTTCCAAAGTATGGGGAAAAATTTAGGTTGCTTTTTAGTTTTCAGAATATATTGAATTTGGACGACGGGGGATTATGTTTTATAGTTAAAGGCATTGACTTCAGACTGAAGAAATACATGTATAAATTTAAGAGAAACTTTATTTTGAGGTCATGGCGATGACAGAATTACCTAAAGGTCAACAGTAAACACCGTCGTCTTTGTACTGCAGGATATTTGAAGTACAGTCAGATTGGTAAGATCCGCCACATTGCATTTTTCGCGTTCAAATAAATAATATGCATTAGGATGCTGTGTTGTTATGTTGCTCAAGAGTCCATTTGATTTTTAATTGAGTGGCATTTTTAAAAATAACTTCTTTTTTTTTCCTGTCTGACCCACACCGTTCATTTTATTTTATTTCTGATTTGACCCGAAACTCTGGACATCCCTGCCATAGGGCAAAGGGAACCAGATTGATCTCAGAACTGTGTGTCTAACTGCGATTTTCAAGTGCTGATGGGTACACAATAAGAAAATCCGCTGGGAAAATTGGCGCAAACCCTACTTCCCCGGATCCAGGTAATGATGGAGAGTCTGAGTGAAGCCTTCATTTTCCCTGCGAGACGGAGCCTATGTCTATAGCTAGGTTATAGCTATATATATTGATGGGTGGGTGGGAGGGGAAGGGATGTGCGGTGGTCTCTCTCTCTCTCTCTTCCCCCCCCCCCCCCCCCCCCCCCCCCCCCCCCCCCCCCCCCCCCCCGGAGGTCGTCTGTATCCATTAAGGGGGAGAGCAGGTTTTCATTCTAATCTTCCCTGTCATGTCTCCTTCCCGGACGCTCATTTCTCATCTCTCATCCCTCACCCACCTTTATTGCTTCTCTCTCTCATTCCTATTATAGGTCTACCCATGAAAGCCCACATCCCTGAAATTGTCCTTGCGGAAGCCAACCCTCTTGTATCCCTACCCCTCACATCGCTAAGAAAAGAAATATCGCGGAGACCTACATTGTAGACTGGATCTGTAGATCCTTTGTTTTCGATCAGAATCAATCAGCACAGGCGGAGGATTGCCTCGGAGAAAAAAAGGGTTGAATTCTCGAATGCATTATACAGGAGGAGGAACTTGAAAAAATTACCAAGGTAAGGGGGGGGGGGGGGGGGGATACACGTGTGTGTATGAGATGAGAGCAAGGATTGACAACGCCAAGATTCATTCCCTCTCAGTTTCGCCCATTATTACAGCAGGTTTCACTTTCGAAATTCTCGGACTAGCAGTGGGAGAAATCCATTCAACTTGATTAGTATTTAGAGGAGCCTTCTGGTCGTTATAAGTATGCCTTATGATGTGAGCACGCGCCAAATTCTCGTTCGTATCCGAAATTCCTTGAAATAAAGCCCTCAAAGTTCTCTCCTCAGTTATGGCTTGTGATCTGTAACAGTAGTCGCTCTTCAATGGAGACAGGTAGGAACTGCCCACCCTGCATTGACTAGGTACATCTGCTGCAGATCACGAGCCGCCACTGTCTCTTCTCTCGTCGTGGAGAGAGAGAGGGAGCGCGCGCGACAGACAGAAAGACACATCACCGGGTTTGGAAGTAATTGAAAAACGAAAAACATTTATTTGTCATTCTCATTCTCTTCTCGCACTCTGAAAAGAACTCCCCTGGAATGGCCTTACTAATGACTTCTCTCTATTGCCTCCCTCGTCTTTAGTTGTTTAATTCCTCATTCATGGTTCATCTCCATTCAGTAATGAGGTGAGGAAGAGGAGATCTCAATCATGACATCCACGAATGAGAAATCTAGTGTCATGACTGACTTCTTTTTTTCCAAAAATTTTTCTTAAATTTCTTTCGGGTTGGTTTTACATCATCTCTTGTCCTTTCCTCCTCAGCCTGATCGGGATTTTCATTGACAAAGCTGATGCATGACTCCTGTTTCTTGTTCTACCTTCTTGCATGATTATGTTTTGTATTTTGATCACACGCTTGGTTAATTCTCTCCCCTCGAGACTGAAATATATTTTATGTATTTGATTTTGCTTGGCAGCATTCCATGCTCTACTTCTTTCATCACTACGAGCTGCCAGTGATTCTGGAACAAGCGGAGGTGCAGCGGCTTCTCCGGTCTCGAGGGGGACAGGGGCACAACCACAATCACCACCACCACCACCCCAGTAACCATCCCGAGAGCCATTCCGCTTCCTCAACGGCGACAACGGGCCCTACCTTATCAGACACTCCAGAACCCCCTCTCACCTTCAGCACCAGTGCCAACAACATCAGCAATCCAAGTGATTCTGTCCTCGGCAGAGGAACTGCCAATGCCAATGGTCCCGTCCTCCATGGACAGAGGACAGAAATGAGGGACCCGGACAGTGGGGAAAGTAGAAATTGAAGACAATATTTAAAAACAGGGAGATAACTAGAGAAATCTCAACCCTACCGGCCTCTCCTTCATGGATGGAGGAGTCTGTCTTTGTGATATGCAATGGGTGATACGTCCAGAGAACAGAAGTCTCACTCTCTTGAGAGGAAAGTCTAGTCGTCGTACAAGAGCCCTTTCATCCTCACGTTGCTGCAAGAGAGTGCATTTTACCTATGCTGCATAGAGTTTGGAAGAAGTTGAAAGATGGTGCTGAAAGTGAAAGGTCATGATGGATCCAATTGCCCTGTCACTGACTCAAGTGTTGATGTTTAATGTCGCCTTTGTGATAGAGAATCACTTGACGGCTCTGCCCGTCATTGATCATTCCATGATTCTTACTGTCCATCTGCTGCCAACCAAAATCTAGCAGCCATCACCTTGTTGAAATATTCTCCCCAGCCCGAATTTTTTGGGTAGAGATACGTGCTGTTTTGAAGTGAGGGGAGTTGTTGCAAACCTCATTTGATTTCCAGGTCAAATCAAGAGTGTCATGAGATGTAATGCATCTTGGTCCAATGCAGAGAGCTTCTCAGTCCTCTCTCAGAGAGCCTGAAGCGGAACTCGTTTCTTATTCTCCTTTCCCCACGATTAGGAAGCTCTGTGAAGTGATTTCCAGGTCAAATGGGGATTGTATTGATGTATCCAAGGAGTTGAGCAGCAGCAGAGTGAATTTACCCAAATTTCAGGAATAATAGTATGGGAAATAAAGGCTCCTACGATCATTTGTCCAGTCATTCAATTATTTATTTTAATCCTATTCTGTACAGGAGCAGTTGTACCGACCAACTGGACAAACTGAATCCAGCGATGGACAGTCTTTGTGAAATGTACATGTTCCTGTAGCTCCTACCCAGGGTAAATTCTGGTGTGGTAAGCAGCAATTTGCAGAGATGAAATTGTTTCTATTTTCATAGAAATATAATGGAAGTTAATGTAATGAGTTACTTGTCACAAGTAACTTTTTTTTTTCCCCATAGCAATAGGATCTTGTGTTGTTTTCTGTTTCCTTTCAATTTCTTGGCAATCAAGTTGGCATATTTTGTTGCAATCTTTCATTGGTTTCCACTAACTCCGTGGCTTGCAAAGTGATGCTGTTAAAACATTTCAGAACAAGCTAACGACAGCGAAGCTACGCAAAGTTTTAATTGGACATGTCGCCTTTTTGCTAAGAATTGCTAAGAAAATTTTAAAATTAACATATGATTAAATTGTTCTGAGAGTCACTGAGTAAGAAAGTAAGTACATGCATGATAGTAATGCCGACTTCATCTACTGCAGCCCCGGGCAGCACTGATGATGGATCATCTTATGGTGCGTATTATTCGTCTCGGATCCTCAGCAGCACCCAAGTTGTCCAAACCGTCTCGCTGCACAGCCGAGTTTCTGCTTGCCGCACTGCCGCACTAGAAGCAACTTGACAGATTTTGCCAAATCGATTTACTTCTTGCAGGTTCATGATGAACTCACCTTTAACACTTATATCACTCACGAGTTCACATTCTCCCTCATTCCATCGCCCCATGTAGTATAATGTTATGATCTACAAGAGCCATAAGAACCCACTCTGGATCTCTCACGAGGTGACTGGAAAGGAGCCTGTCATGTTCAACTCTGGAACTCTGGAACCCACCAACCAACCTGAGCAACTGAGTCAGCCGGCCGAGTTGCTGAGCTCAGCCAGAATGTATGGTGCGTTTCCTAAGTGACTAAGGAAATTGGCTTCCTTGTCTCCTCTGCCTGGTCAAAAAACAGTGAAATGCTGAGAGACAAGAATTGCAGCCAACTTGACTCAGTCACCTTCCATCCGACTTTTTTATTTTAGTGAACTACACATGGCTAATGAAGTAAACTGCCCATCGCACTTGAATTCCCTATCGCATATTGGTTGCATGGTAACGCGTTGTGCTGTTATTGAGAATGGACGAAAGGGAGAGGGAATGGCTCAGCTAATACAGGAAGAACGAAGGGAGAGATGCATTATTCACGGGTGGAATTGAAATGAAATTCCTCTCGTCAGTCGTCAGATGATCCCTCCCGAGATCATCACTGGATCCGCTCGTAGGAGGGGAGTACGCGGAAACGGAAAATTTTATGCATTCACAGCCATATTGAAGAGATGTCTCGCGCCTTTCACCCATATAATACGAACTGGATCCAGTCGGTCTTTTCACTAACTACATAGCTTACGATTACGATATTCTATTGTACCGCAACGTGACTTGAGCCTGTCTACAGCATCCAATTCATTTCATTAAACTCAGAAATGCCCCAAGGTGCATTAGGGAGAACTAGGGCAAATGAGAAACTCCGCCAATGAAGTTTCATTGATGATACTTGGGTGGTAGCATCCGATTGTACAGTATAATGATGTCTATTGTTACCCGTGGTACAGTGACAAGTCTTCCCTCTAGTAGTCTAGTGAAAAATATAATAGCAGATCTATAGGCTGGTACTCGATTGTTTTTTTGTTCGGATGACCAAACGTTCCTGTGAGACTGACGTTCGTAAAATCGACGCTCTACTGTACTTCAGTTCTCGGAATAACTATCATTTAACTATATATTACACTGCATAAGGCCAGTAGATGTTGAGACTGTAACAAGGAACAATTGAGAAACATCCCGAACTCTTTTTCTTTAGTTTCAATTTTTCTTGGAGCTGAGCAAATTTACTGATTGAGATGATATACTACAGCAGTGAAGATGACTTGGGCGAGTGTTTGGGTTTATGTAATTTCTTATAATTATCATGCAATTTTTTAGTCGATATCTTTTGTTTATGCGTTAGAAATCGTGTCTCAAAGACGGTTTCCTGCAAGACCAAAAACACTGTGTATCCTTTCTTTGGTGAACGGTAAAGTAGTCTGATGAGGTAAAATTTTTTTACCAATGTTGTCTGGGGAGAGAAAGGGCTGATGCCATGACTGCATTCATCCCAGAGCATATGCACTGTATAATATACACAGAGATGATGGCAAGAGGTGGCTCCCCTTTCTTCTTTCCTTTTTTTTTTCCTTCATGCCCAGATTCCCGCCATTGTGGGGGCTTAGGCACTATAAGCAGCGATAAAAAGGCTCCCCCGGGAGTTCGTCTAATGAAGACGGATAGACAATCGTTATTAAGATCCTGATTTCATCACACTTGCCCCCTTCCTTTTTTTTCTTCCTCTTTTCCTCTTTTTCCTCCTTGCACATGTATGCGAGGATACTTCTTTGACGGGATCAGTGTTGATGTGGTTACTTTACACAACTTGATGTGATTAGTGTCACGGCTTTTCAAAGACTCATCAAGGCTATGGGGTAGAGGGTCGGAATTTAATTATCCCACAGATTCTTCTCGCCCGTTCCTGATTTTCTCCACGTTTTTCTCTTCTCCTGTTCGCTCAGCGATGGCGCTATCGAGAGGAAATTTCAGCCACGTCCACTCGAATTTCAAGCTATCGGAGTTGACTTGCGAAAGCCTTTCAAGGTCTCACAACGTCAGACTGGCGTGGGGCAACGCCATTTCGCGCTTCGATAATTTTCTCTGCATTTATGAATGGAGGCGGAAAAATGAAGCGGAGCAGTGATTATCAGCCTTCAGCTGTAATATCCTGTCCAAGATCAGTGATGCATGAAGGATTCATGCATGATTTTAAGGAACGTGGCGTCCCACGTTCCTCCATCCCACGTTCGCTGAAAACAACTTCGACTCGCCGTGAGGCAGTGGCTCCGTATAACACAGTATTCAAGAACGAGTGGATGAATGTGACCGCTCCTTAGGCTGCTTCTTGCTGAATCCAATCAGACGCATCGGAAGAAGGAAAGACATGGTAACAATATAGTCCTGCTCTCACAGCAAATGAGAAACTCGGTTTCCGTCTCCATTTATTGGATTATTAGGTCGATCTCCTCTCGTGATCCACGTCATACCTTAGATGATTCCTTCCCTTTTGCATTTTCCGAGTGCATGTGATACGCTGCATCCGGTGCAGAATCAGTAACGGCATCCGGGCTTTCGCAGGTTAATCTCATCGCTAGTCCTGACTTCATTCTAATGATGATTTTGACAATCTGATCAATTTGAGAAAGGATTTTAATCTTTCCAGTTCACGTACACGACTCAAATGGAAATGGAAATGGCAATTCTAGCTAGCAAGAGAGACCATTCATGAGACTTTCGTTTATATCGAGAAAACTCGTTAGTCTGTGAAATTCGATTTCGTTGCCTTCGAAAAACCTAGGATCCCAGATTCATACAGGGTCCTTTGACCCCTGGCCGAAGTCCTCTTTAGCCTCCCCTCGAACTGGGTCATTGAAAATGCAGCGGAGGAGGCGTTCTTGTTAACATTTTTTCTCTGATGGAAACGACGTTTGACAGGTGCGACCAAGCAGAAGCATTGAAACGATGCACATCATAGTGCGTCATTACTCTTCCCCGTGATGATCAACTCTTCCCCCTATATGATTTTTTTTTCTCGCCCTCCGTCTATCTGCATGTCATGAATTTTTATAGTTACATCTGCATTTTAATGCAGGGCTGATTGATCAAAGAGTTCGTAGTATTTGCCATAAGGAATTTCTCGCTACGCTTTGATGACCCTTCGCTGGTTTGCTCCTTCCTCATTCGGAGCTTTGCATTGAATCATTCTTTATGTGCGGTGGATCTTACCGACTCTCATTTCCATTCTTACTGTTTCTCTGGGCCACAGGTGAACCTAATTGCCGCAACGAGACCAATGCTATCAGCGATAAGAATTTTCTTGTCGAAGTGAGTGTGAGCATGGTCTTACTCATATTTAGCCCAATTTTAACCCCATAGATATTCATGATCATTCTGGATCTTGTGAAATATAAATATATATACCGCGCGTGCCATAAATATTAAGAGAAGTATCGTGAACGCCTTCTCGAATATGGAAAGGAGCGGAATGGAGTCGGTAGAAGGGGATAAGGTGGGAAAGGGAGAAAAGGAAGAGGTGAAATACGATCTCGATTTCGGATTCCCCCGGGCCATCCCCCCTTTCCCCCCGTATTATCAAGATAATGCAAACACATTAGATGTTGCTGAGAGTGGATTATTCTTTCCCCATACTATCTTCCCCTCATTCATTCCACGGATTCCTAGAATGTAGCATGATTCAACATCTGCCTCGCAAGGAACCTCCTTATCAGTCCATTATAATGGATGCGGTGAAAGATGGTCTCGGGCCTCCTAGAGGGAATATCATGGAGGCATGCTTGCATCTCTGCTCATCGTGACTGAAAATCGCGGAAGAGCAATAATCAGAGGTATTTTGAATCCATAACGTTTCATGCTGTTTACATATCTGACCTACTTCAAAGCCTGAAAGACGAAGACTACGGCAGCGGTTCTCAAACTTTATCACGTTAGCCGACCCTGGTTTTGCGTCTCGCCCCCTTTCCGTCTGCGAGAAGTAGCAAGAATGGAGCCTACCCCACAGAAGTTCCCTCATTCAATGATAAAAAAGAATTTTCATTAAGTGAAAAAAGGTTTACAACAGTTCAAGGACCTGGTCCTAATTCAATGCATGCCCATGTGCTTCTGAGCCCACAAATGACCAAATCAGGACAGGACGGCAGCAAAAATGACGCAATGCTCATTTTCAACATCCAAACGGCACCGAATTTTTGGCACGAGATCAGGCATTTGGGAGGAAATTTTTCAAAGACCTGACCGGGACCTATTTAATTAGAGAAATCCAGTGCACTAACACTACCCTG